AGCTAAATTGCAAATGCGTACTTATAAACTAAATTAGTCATGAGTTCAGTAAAAAATTATTTGAACTTGCCCTTTTGGGCCCATTTATTTTGTGTGCGTTAATGTGCATTAATTCGAATGAACTGCATAATGCATTAAATCACAAAGAAAAATTTTGCGTGGATCATTTTTAACAATGCCATACACCACAGCATGTTTAACATCCATTGCCATGTGTTATTGCAAGACAACAGTGTGGATCTGGCCAAGTGTTTGAAATTTCTGCAGGAATTTTGTTAATTAAACAGACTTTTATCCAGACATTGCTGTAGTGCCCTTTGTCAGTAATCTTGTGATATGAGAACCTCTGCTTGTGACTCAAGAAAGAAATTCCACAAAACATAATTTTGCACTTTAATATACTGTATATTGTCCTATGCTGTAACTTATGCTAGGACCCAGTAGAAACGTTAGTGCCCGGTCATATTGGTGGGATTTCAGGTGCGATTTGGGAATTGAAATCGCACCTGAAATCACATCTAATACATGTGAATGTCAGTGTCTTAACATTTGCGATTTGCTGTAGCATGATTTATAAAGTAGTTTTTGCACTATTTTTTGGCAATTTTGTTGCAATTTCACATATATAGAATGTAATGGAAATCGCAAGGCAAATTTCAAGAAATCATTGAAAATCTTTACAAGTAGCAATAAAGTCTTCAGAAATCACACCTGCACACAAATCCAGTGCTTTGAAATCACAGAGGTGACTTACTAAACAAACCCCACCCAAATGTCCTAGGTCAGCAGCCAAATTAACCACTTCAAGTCTGGACACTTTTAACCCCTTCCTGTCCAGGCCAATTTTCAGCTTTCAGTACTATTACACTTTAAATGACAATTGCGCGGTCATGCAACACTGTACCCATATGAATTTTTTAGCAATTTTTTGAGACAGATAAAGCTTTATTTTTGTGGTATTTATTCACCACTGAGATTTTTATTTTTTTTTGCTATGTAAATGAAAAAGTCCGAAAATTTTGAAAAAAAGTGTTTTTCTTATAAAATTTTGCAAATAAATAATATTTCATTATAAATATTGGCCAACATTTATTTTGTTATCTTTTTAGTAAAAAGAAAAAATAACCGAAATTAGTTCTTAACCAAAAATTATAATTTTTAAACTTTTGTTTACATTTTTATTTTTTTTTTTATATTATTATTTCTGTTTTTTTTTTTTTTTTTACATGCTGTCACCCTAGAAGTATACCATGGTGACACTGTACTATTTGTGGGGGTGATGAAGATTTTTTTTTTTTTTTTTACACTGCTTTTACACCCATAAAGGCTGTAAAAGCAATCATTTCTCCTTGCTGTATTGTTGCAGCCATTGAGAACTACTGTGTGAGCTGTGATTGGTCACAGCTTGTCACATGGCACAAGGCTGTTGTGAATAGCCTTGTACCATGTGACCTCTGTGATCATTCACAGATTTCACACGTAGTAAGCAATGATGTCAGAAGTGACATAATTTACTGGTTTACTGATTTTTCCAGACGTCTGCACTAAGAAGTCAGATTTCAGGCATTCCCTGCAACAAAAATTTAATTTTTGGTGAAATGCTGTAAGGGCTGGTTCACACCATAGAAATGCAGTTCGGATGCGTTTCTGTATGCACGTTTTTGATGCGTTTTTGATTGTGTTCCGGTGCGTTTTTTATGCATTCCAGTTCATTTTTTCCCCTCTCTTTTTCTTCAACTTAAATAAGGACGTGCAACAAAGTTTGGTAAACTCCTTGCAATGTACATAGATCACCTAGAGGGGTGATCTCAACAAAAATGGAGTTATTCTTTAAGTTTCACTTGGAATTGTCACTATATTCCCAATGTTACAAATAGTGGAAGTTCTTTCAAGGTAATACCATACTCCAAAGATTAAAAGTCCACCCATTTTACCCTCTAAAGAATTCATACAACTGTGTGTTGCCTTGTAGTCTAAAAGTGCATGTGCTTTGCCTGTAGTTAGAGCCCGTTCACACCAGAACCCAGTGGGGGAAAGGCACGTTCCATATGCGTTTCCTGCATTGTAAGTGAACGCTCTGCCCTTGCGAGATGCATGCAGATGCCAATTAATTGTTAATAGTACACCCTTCACATTTTTGTAAATATTTTATTCTATCTTTTCATGTGACAACACTGAAGAAATGACACTTTGCTACAATGTAAAGTACTGAAGTGAAAATGTCCAAATTGGGCCCAATTAGCCATTTTCCCTCCCTGATGTCATGTGACTCGTTAGTGTTACAAAGTCTCAGGTGTGAATGGGGAGCAGGTGTGTTAAATTTGGTGTTATCGCTCTCACTCTCTCTGGTCACTGGAAGTTCAACATGGTACCTCATGGCAAAGAACTGAGGATCTGAAAAAAAGAGTTGTTGCTGTACATAAAGATGGCCTAGGCCAGTGTTCGGCAAGCCGCGGGTCGCGAGCCACATGCGGCTCTTTACACGCTTTAATGCGGCTCTTGTGTGCCGGGCGCCCGCTCCCCTCCCTCCTTTCGGGCGGCAGGGACTCTGCAGCGTGATCCAAAAAAAAAACAGCCAGGGCAGCGCGCTCAAATGCAATGATTGGCCAGTCTCGCTGCCATGATAGCGATTGGCTGTCAGAGGTGTGTAGGCTAGCGTGACGAATGTGAGAGGAGCTAGGCTCCTCTCACAGTCCGCCCTGAAGACCGGAACGGCGAGGGAACACGGCGAGAGGAACGCGCGGAGCAAAGGTAAGTGAATTGACACAGGGGGGACTTGGCTTACTACTTGCTACTTACTACTACTATATGGGGATGAATTACTATAGGGGGGATGAATTACTATGGGGGATGAATTACTATAGGGGGGATGAATTACTATATGGGGGATGATGAATTACTATGGGGGATGGGGGGGATGAATTACTATATGGGGGATGAATTACTATGGGGGATGAATTACTATGGGGGATGAATTACTATATGAATGGGGGAATTAATTACTATATGGGGGATGAATTACTATGGGGGATGAATTACTATGGGGGATGAATGAATTACTATGGGGGATGAATTACTATATGGGGATGAATTACTATAAAAACTTATTGAAACTAAAAACAGTGTACCATCCTATGTATTTTCAGTTTTAAAAATGTGGCTCTCAAAATAAATTTCAATCGTGGTTTTGGCGAGATTTGGCTCAGTTGAAAAAAAAGGTTGCCCACCACTGGCCTAGGCTATAAGAAGATTGGCAAGACCCTGAAACTGAGCTGCAGCACGGTGGCCAAGACCATACAGTGGTTTAACAGGACAGGTTCCACTCTAAACAGGCCTCACCATGGTCGACCAAAGACGTTGAGTGCACGTGCTCAACATCATATCCAGAGGTTGTCTTTGGGAAATAGACATATGAGTGCTGCCAGCATTGCTGCAGAGGTTGAAGGGGTGGGAGATCAGCCTGCCAGTGCTCAGACCATACGCCGCACACTGCATCAAATTGGTCTGCATTGCTGTCGTCCCAGAAGGAAGCCTCTTCTAAAGATGATGCACAAGAAAGCCCACAAACAGTTTGTTGAAGACAAGCAGACTAATTACATTGATTACTTGAACCATGTCCTGTGGTGTGATGAGACCAAGATAAACTTATTTGGTTCAGATGGTATCAAGCGTGTGTGGTGGCAACCAGGTGAGGTGTACAAAGACAAGTGTGTCTTGCCTACAGTCAAGCATGGTGGTGGGAGTGTCATGGTCTGGGGCTGCAGGAGTGCTGCTGGCACTGGGTAGCTACAGTTCATTCAGGGAACCATGAATGCCAACATGTACTGTGACATACTGAAGTACAGCATAATCCCCTCCCTTCAGAGACAGGGCCACAGGGCAGTATTCCAACATGATAACAACCCCAAACACACCTCCAAGATAACCACTGCCTTACTAAAGAAGCTGAGGGTAAAGGTGATGGGCTTGCCAAGCATGTCTCCAGGTTTAAACCCTATTGAGCATCTGTGGGACATCCTCAAAGGTGGAGGAGCGCAAGGTATCTAACATCCACCAGCTCCGTGATGTCGTCATGGAGGAATGGAAGAGGACCCCAGTGGCAACCTGTGAAGCTTTGGTGAACTCCATGCCCAAGAGGGTTAAAGCAGTGCTGGAAAATATTGTTGGCCACACAAAATATTGACACTTTGGGCCCAATTTGTACATTTGCCTTAGGGGTGTACTCACTTTTGTTGCCAGTAGTTTAGACATTAACCACTTGCCTACCAGGCACTTATACCCCCTTCCTTACCAGGCCAATTTTCAGCTTTCAGCGCTGCCGCACTTTGATTGACAATTGCGCGGTCATGCAACATTGTACCCATATGAAATTTTGATCATTTTTTTCTCACAAATAGAGGTTTCTTTTGGTGGTATTTAATCGCCACTGGGCGCTTTACTTTTTGCGCTATAAATTAAAAAAGTGCAAAAAATTTGAAAAAAAAAAAAAGTTTCTTTGTTTCTCTATTATAAAATTTTTCAAACAGGTAATTTTTCTCCTTCACTGATGTGCGTTGATGAGGCAGCACTGATGGGCACTGATAGGCGGCACTGATGGGCACTGATAGGCAGCACTAAAGGGCACTGATAGGCAGTACTAATGAGGTGGCACAGATAGGCGGCACTGATAGGCAGCACTAATGAGGTGTCACGGATAGGCGGCACTAATATGCAGCACTGATAGGCGGCACTGATAGGTGACACTGATGATGGGTACTGATAGATGGCACTGACTGGCATCACTGCTGGGCACTGACTGGCGGCACTGACTGGCACAACCGCTGGGCACTGACTGGTGGCACTGACTGGCAGCACTGCTGGGCTGCACTGGTGGGTGGCACTGGTGGGCAGCACTGGTGGGTGGGCACAGGTGGGTGGCACTGGTGGGCACAGGTGGGTGGGCACAGGTGGGTGGCACTGCTGGGCACAGGTAGGTGGCACTTCTGGGCACAGGTGTGTGACACTGCAGAGTGGCACAGGTGGGTGCACTGCTGGGCACAGGTGGGCGGAGCTAGTGGGCGCACTGCTGGGCACAGGTGGGCGGAACTTGTGGGTGGCACTGCTGGGCACCGATCATCAGGGCACTGATCATCAGTGCCCTGATGATCGGTGCCGATCCTCGCTCTGACAACTGCCGGTTCTCGGCAGTACTTTCCTCACGATCTGACAGCGTGAGGAAAGTGCAGCCGAGAACCGGCACTTGCATTTCCCTGTGATCAGCGTGTCATTGGACACCGCTGATCACGTGGTAAAAGGCCGGTATGATTGGCCTTTTACCACATCTCGTGATCAGCTGTGTCCGTAGGACACAGCGATCACGGAGATCGCCGGGTGCGCGCCCCCTGGGGCGCGCAGGAGAGCGCGTTCTGGGGGGACGTCATATGACATACACCCAGAACTGGCCGGCCGCAGTGAAGCCGTCATTCGGCTATCTGCGGTCGGCAACTAGTTAATGGCTGTTTATTGAGTTATTTTGAGGGGACAGCAAATGTACACTGTTATACAATCTGTACACTCACTACTTTACATTGTAGCAAAGTGTAATTTCTCCAGTGTTGTCACATGAAAAGATATAATAAAATATTTACAAAAATGTGAGGGGTGTACTCACTTCTGTGAAATACTGTATGTATAATTGTCACCAAATGCACCTCCTTTTTCCTTTTTCTGTACTGAAAAATCTCAGAGATCTCAGATTATCTAGGAAAGATGTTCACATAGTTACAATGTATGCCTAATAGTATAAGTAGTTCAGTTAATGTTGTGCTGTCCTGTATGTCTAAATAAGTCCACAAGTTTTACACAAATCTGGGAGCTTTTATTTTGTCATATGTTTTGTACCTTCAGTGACATATTCAAATAAATAGCTATTTTGCCACATAACTTTCATGCTATTGGAAATTAATTATTTTTTTTTTCTCATCTCTACAATTAAAAGCAGATTGCATGCTAGGAGTTCTAATAGAGCTTTGCTCATTGTCTTGTCATTCGCCTTTTTATAGCTAGAAGCTAACTCGGCCAAACTATGTGCCAGTAAAAGTACTTCAGACTCTCAGACAGACGCGAAGAAAGAAAAGACAGAGCAAAGGCGCCTGCTGGAAGACACTCACATTGCAGCAATGGAACTCAAAAGGCAGTTGGAAAATAATGAACGGAACTGGAAAGTGGAAAAGATGGAGTTGTTGGAAAGATTTGACAGTGAAAGAAAAGAATGGGAATGTCAATGGAAAATGATGCAGAAAAAGATAGAGGAGGTAATATATTCCTTGGATCATACCACTGTTTTAACAACATAGTGTTTCCATGTCTATGTTATAACTACAGCTTTTTCTGCACTAAATGCATGATTATTTTTTTATTCCTGTGTTCTACACCTATGGAATTGTATCTCTGCTGTGTTCTACTCTTGTGTTATACTCCTATGGAAATGTTCTCTGCAGGTTTTCAAAAAAATACATCATCCCATATCTCAGAGGTCAGTCACCTGTCAATCGCCAGCAGGTGATTACGTTTGAGTCCCTGCCCTGTCAACCCTCGAGTGCTCTTCCTCTTTTCCCCCCAAATGGCAGTTGAGCTAAGGCCATACCACATCTCGGAGGTCGGTCACCTGTCGATCGTGATCTACCTGTCAATTGCCAGCAGGTAGACCACTTGCAGACTGAACAGGCATGGATGTCGCAAAACTGACATCCACCCTGTTCAAATCTATTTGTGGATCCCGTGCTGAGCAGAGTGCAACACCCTGTGTGAAAGACCCTAAAGCCAGCCATACATGGGTCGAATTCCAAAAGAATTTTCATTTGAAAATCTTTTATAAGAATTTTCGTTCAAATTTCACACCATTAGTGGGTCACAGAAACAGACAATTTTTGTGTGACCATCGAATTTGAGTGATTGGGCATGTTGAAATTTTTTTGAAAAACGAACGAAGTTCGAATCAATGATGGGAGAATCGTGCAAGAAATATGAGCTGTGACCTGTAAAGAAAACAAAATTCTTGGTCACAAAAATTATTTTCTGTAGCAACATGAGGAGAAATTGAATTCTTGGTTGGTTGAATTTCGAAATCAATGGTGGCACCATCGCATTACAATACGCACAAAATTTCCGATTTTCTAAAAAATTCATTCAGAATTTGACCCGTGTATGGCCTGCATAACACTACCTTTTTACCCTGTCTACGTTGCTGCTCTATCTTGAGAAAAGACACTTTAAAGTGGATTTAAAGGCTGAAGGATTTTTACCTTAATGTATTCTGTGCATTAGTTAAAACACCTTCTGAGTACAGCTTCTCCCCAGCCCCCCAATACTTACCTGAGTCCGATCTCAATCCAGCTCGGTGCGCAATAGCAGCATCTCCCTCAGCTCTCTCCCTCCTCTTAGGCTCAGAGACATTGGCAGAAACCATTGGCTCCTACTGCTGTCAATCACAGCCAGTGAGGAGGGAGCGGGGGGAGTGGGGCCAGGCCATGCTCTGTGAGCCTATGAACAGAGAAAGCTGGCTCGGTAGTGAGCCCGCATGAGTGCCCCCATAGCAAGCGGCTTGCTATGATGTGCAATCGGCGGGTGAGAGGAGGTGATGCATCGGGAGCAGGGGAAGGTGAGTTACCAATATTAAGGGGGGTAGGTAAGAAGAATAAATGTACTTTGCCAGCACAAAACCACCGAAGTGCTGCTGTCACTGAGCCTAATAGAGAAGGAGCTCCTTTATTGACTGAAACACTGCCACATCTTCATCTCCAGCAAGGAAGCAACGGTAGAGAATCAATTACCTTTTGATCCTCTTTACAGGATTATAGTAAGGAATTCAGTTGTATGTAAGGAAATTCTTTGCCTCTTGAACAGAACACAGTTTATATATATTCTGTTTTGATAACTTCCTGAATATTTTACAAACTGTATACATTTCTGAAAGTTTTTTAAGCAACTGCAACTCATTTATGCTTACATAAACTCAAACAGCTATTTTAAACTTTTAAAAGTAAACCTGCAATTACTTAATGTACTGTAGACAGAAAAGCCTCATTTTTGCAACCCCTGATCCTAGTTTAATTGTAATATTAAGGGCTTGGCTTCATTGACTAGGAAGCAGTAATTGGACTTTAAATCTGAGTTTGGTATGAAGCTTAGACACTAGGATGGAAAAGTTGAGCCTTTTAACATAGTGAAACCTGAATCCTAAGGTCCCTTGCACACTTGGTGTTTAGCCCCAGTGCATGGGGCTCTGGCATTTAGTTGTGGGCCCAGGTGCACTGTCCACCACCGCTGTAGGCAGCCTGTCAATGAGAGGCTGACAGGGCTGGATGGTACACCTAGCAGTACTTGTGTTTACTATGTATACTTATGTTTCTTCTTCTTCTGGGCATTTCGCCTCTGAAAACCTACTGCCCTAAACATAAATACCACTGCACCGTTCAGCCTAAATGTCAGAACCTCATGTGCTAGGGCTAAACATGGGGCCTAAGGGCATTTTTCTGGCCAAAACGGTAATAGCAAGCATCTTGTGGTGTCTGCTGTTTTCCAGGGTTTTTAAAAGTTTAAAATAGCTTGCAGGTTTAATTTTAGCAAAAACCAGGAGCAAACAGGTTTGAGGTATTTTTTTTACCTGTAAGACCATCTTATATGACATGCTCCAATATATACAGTACATTGCAATGGTCCCATGATCATACCCACCTGACAGTTCATGTGTTGACAAGGAGCATTCTGCTAGGAGGAGAAAGCAAAGTAATATAGTGATGAGCTTACTGCTGTTCGGTGTTGTCTTAACTCTCCAGTCACAGGCTGGGGCAAGTCCATGATGGTCTGGGCTCAGAAGAAGTGGGCTGAATAATGCTTATGTACTTGGGGGCTAAGAATATGCATGCATCATACATACTAGGTTGAGTACAACTGGAGAATCAATGGTGGAGAAGGATCTGGGGGTTCAGGTAGATCACAAGCTTAATAATGGCATGCAATGCCAAGCTGCGCGGTTTCTAAAGCAAGCAAAATCCTCTCTTGTATTAAAAGAGGTATAGACTCCGGAGAGAGAGATATCATATTTCCCCTGTACAAATCATTAGTAAGACCTCATCTGGAATATGCAGTTCAGTTTTGGGCACCAATTCACAAAAAGAACATTGGGGAACTTGAGAAAGTACAGAGAAGGGCAACCAAACTGATACGAGGCATGGAGGAGCTCAGCTATAAGGAAAGATTAGAGGAACTGAATGTATTCTCTCTTGAGAAGAGGAGATTAAGGGGGGATATGATCAACATGTATAAATACATCAGTGGTTCATATAGTGAACTCGGTTTAGAGCTATTTACCCTGTGAGGTCATCACAGAGGACAAGGGGGGACTCTTTATGTCTGGAAGAAAAGAGATTTAATCTCCAAACACGGAAAGGTTTCTCCACAGTGAGAGCTGTGAAAATGTGGAATAGACTCCCTAAAGAGTTGGTTCTGGCCAGTTCAGTGGATTGCTTCAAAAAAGGCCTGGATTCTTTCTAAGGGCTCGTTCACACGTGACTTTATTTCTAACTCTTGCCAAACGCCCCTATAGCGTTTGACAGGCATTAGACAGGTGTTTGGGAAGCATTTTAACGTTCCCAAACGCCCTATGCACGGTTTTGAGGCAGTTGATAGGAGTTTGCCAAGTGTTAAAACCGCACCACAAACGCCTATAGTGAAGTTAAATGGTATTAACGCCTCGCAATCGCGTCGCAACCACACCTCAAATGCCTGCCATGCGTTTGCGGAGCGGCACCATAGACTTGAATGGGAGGCTTCAACTCTTCCTGACTCGACACAAGGCTTCAGGTTTGCCGCGATGCGACAATAATGCTTCAGTGTGAACAGTCTTTTTTCAGCCAGACTAACTATGTAACATCTTGTAGTGGAAAAAGTATGGTGGTGGGTATTGCTGCAAAACCTGCTTTTTAATTTTTTTATTAGGCTACTCAGCTTTATCTTATCATTGGCTGAGGCTTTGCTTTAAGAATTATGTGTCTGATGCAGTGGTCACTTGTTCTGGTGTCTTATACAGCTGTACCAGGAAGTCAGACTAAGAAGGGAGAAAAATCTGAATGGTGATGATGGTGACACCGAGGAAAAA